TTTAATTTAAGTTCTATTTCTTTAATGTTCTTTTTACTTTATTATTTAACTGATGAAGTTCGTTAAAGACAATCGAAAACGTTTTTACGATATTAAATTATTTGCTGGAATATTTAAAAGGTGATAATTTTACTTAATTTGTGGAAATTATTTGAAAACTATCCACAAACACATTTTTTCAAAATGAATAGGGCCAAATTTTTGTATAAAAAGTTGTATTTGAACGCCATACACTGTTTTATTATTACCATATTTTTACTTAATTTCACAAAAATACTAGTTTGAGGGGTAGGAATGAAAAAACTAGCCTGTTAACATACAGTTTGAGAAGTGATGCTCTAAAAAACTTCATTAAAAGCTGACAATCATTACTATTCATGATTAAAGTTGGATTAGAACCTGCAAGTTGGTGAACTAGAAATGTTTTGGCACTTTCAATTTAACAGCAAGAATTTGCATGCAGAAAAAATTGTAAGAATAATATTTTAACAAAATGATTATTAATTTCATTTTTAAAATTTTGTAAGTGGAATTTGATTGCTAATAGATATTTAATAAAATTCATGAGAGGTACAACATTGAGTTGTGAAATAAATAAATAAAAAATAACTCAAACTTTAAACATACAAACATAATTAGTACATTAAAATTAAGATATATTATTTTTTGTGAGTTTTGTGATTTATTAAATGGAGGTTATGAAAACTTTACTAAACAAATAATTTCATTACAGAGTTCATTTCATACAGTATAAGTTTGGTTACATTAAATTTTATAAAACTTATGATAATTTAGGAAATTTAATATTATTGTAACAATAATTAATGTTTTAATTTGATTTAGGTCAGCTTGTGCTGTAGATGAAGAAAGAACTGCTGATGGTAATTTTACATTATATATTTTTTTATTTGAATTAGTTAATCCTCTTAGAAATGTATTAACTAAAATTCAGTTATGAAAATGGTTTAAAAACATGTCTTTACATTGTAATATTGTAAAATTACTTTAGAAATATTTCAAATTTGTTATAAAAGAAGAATCTTACTATATTTATGATATTTTAATATTTTTCTGTTGATGTGCAGAAAAAGAGATAATAATGGGGAACAAAAATCATTTTTATTATACAAGGTGTCTCAAAAGAAAGTTTATACAGTAAAGCATAGATTATCTGACTCAATTGGGGACTCAGGTTGGTCGGATAACTGAAAAAATCGGATAACCGAAAAGAATGAAAAAAATACATTATTAGTATAGTATATTAGTATATCCCATGTAATTAGTATATTAGTATATTGCTATTAACCAACTTCGCGTTGAATTTTCATTGATGTTAAGCCTAACAAATTTTTTTTA